CCTTTACAAACTGAGTTAAGTTTAACAATAACTTTTCAGTTCTTAAAATTTACTGTCATTAAGAAATACCCCAAGCATTCACTTCTCCTTGCCTCGCGTCTTCCGCAACTTATAGGGACTTGTAGGAGCTGCTGCCCCTTTCTCTGAAAGAGAGTCCTTTCCGGAAGAATCCGAGTCCAGCTCGCCACTGGACTTCCTGCCCTCCCCTTCTTTTTCTTCCTCCTCTGGCCCTCCCAACTGGACTCTTAAAAATTCCCGAGCTTTCAGAACAGAGTCAATCTTTTCTTTATTATCCTTGATTTTGAAGGTGACGCCTTCTGGAGTTAGCCATCTATATCCAATTGAATTTGTCTGAATAAGAGCTTTATATTTCTTTCTCCTTTGTCTTATTTCAAATGGAATATCTTTTAGAACTCTTATGACATTTTCCCCAACTTTCAGGGGTACTCCAGATACTGCTTTCAGGATTGCATCCCTCAAATGCTTCTTCGAGAATCTTACAACAATTTCCCAAGGCAGATTGTTTTTCTTTATATATCCTGAATATGCTCCGAAAGAGCATCAGATACAGTGGGCTTATACTCATCTGGGATGGAATCGAGAACTGGGCGAACAGATGCAGCCACACTGAAAGTGTAAGCAGAAAGGTAGGAGAGGTAAGTATCAAGCCTAATGTTCATGGCAGCTAAGGAGTAGATTTTCTTCGCAATGGAATCAATCTTACGGCCCTCACGATCAGGAGGAAAGGAGTGTCTCGGCTGTTTAGACTTCAAGGAAGAATGAATTATCATGGAATTCGGTGAAGGATGATTGAAAAGGAATTTCCTTGAGGACTCTTGGATTTTATAAATGGCATCATATCTCTTCGATATCAGAGGTAGGGAAACGGGATGGTCCCATGGCTCTTTGAGCACTGAAAGGTGTACTGGCAGCTAAGGTAAAATTGTCAACGGCGGCAAGTCTGCCTGGACCAGCTTATGGACAACATTGGTTATCTCGAGGGTATCAGTAGAACCCTACATTTGGAGTGCTGTGGTTATCTCGAGGGTATCAGTAGGACCCTACACTTGGAGTGCTGTGGCCATCCTAGTGACAACTTCCAAATAAGCCTTGGGTCCTTCAGTTGGTGAAAGGGAACCAGAATGGTGACCGTCGTCCTCAACGAGAATCACGACAGGGTTGAGATCACCCAAAACGGAGCAGTCAGACACCAAATCCGGAGATAGTGTTCGGATATGATGAGACACATCTAGAGTTGTCTGGGTATATCAGTGGGCAGATGGTACCAAGGTTCTGACAGAGAACGCTTCGGGGCATCTGCTGACGTTGACGCATCCGGAGGCTAGTCAGGCTCCAGGGAATGGATCGAGGCGACAGAGCGCAAGTGTTGAGTGCAAGACAAGATGGGGTGGTGACGACAGAGGTCAGTGTCCCGCGATGAACTATAGCGGTCCCGGTGAGAAGTGGAGGACCTGGAGTAGGAGCATGGGTGATACAATCTACAATGCCTGATATCCAGGGACCAGGATCTGTAATCAGACCGAGACTGTGATTGGGAAAGCGATCTGTGGTAGCCATATGCCCTCCGATCATAATGTGATCGAGGAGATCGGGATCGACTTCTCATAAAGTGCTCCCTGTCATCCAAAACGTGGATAGGCAGCTGGGAGTCACGAGATGTAGAGTGACAGGCAACAGCCCTCGGAAAACCATGACGAGAAGAAGACTTCTGCGGCGGTGACTTAAGAGTGCTGACCAAGCGGAATGCAATTCGTTGGAGAGGATAAAGCTGGCGGCAAAGTCGGAGGCTGGTGTTTAGACTTCTGAGCAGAGGTTGCTGTAGAGGCCATTTTAGGAGTCGACGTCGAGAGACCGGAGATTATCACGGGATCGAGTTTCAGAGCTGAAGATCGGGAAAGCGATCTGTGGTAACCATATGCCCGCCTTTCTTTTCTTCTTCTTCTTTTTAACTGAAGTCGATTTCGACGACTTTGATATCAGCGTCGAAGAGGGTTTATCATCCCGCTTTTTAGGTTTCTGCTTCGACGATTTAGTGTTCTCAGAGAGAGAAGGCGGCTTCTGAGAGGCAGAAGAAGCACGAGACACCGTTGAAGACATTGTAGGGTGCAATGCAGCTTCCAAAAAAACTGCGCAAAGGTGGGCCACCCTATTCCTACGGTCCTGCCTAATGAACTTGGCTCAATGAGAGCACGAGTCAACCTGATGAAACTCCCCCAAACAAATTAAACAAAGGTCGTGGCTGTCATTAGATGGGAGTTTAGCAGGACAACAGCAACACGGCTTAATAGGGTGCAGCCCATGCAAACACCTTCCCGACCAAGGGGAGGAGAAGGGGAGATGGGGGGGTAGTGAAAGACTGAAAGTGAAGAGAAATAGTAAAGCGAACTTCTCTTTTTTTTGTTTACTTTACAAGAAAAACAAAGACGAGAGGAAGTTAACAAAGAAAAGAGAAAAAACTCAGCTGAGGCGAGGTGTGAACATGAAGGCAGTCGAAGAAGAACTGAGTGGGAGGTGGCTCTCTCCCCCACAGTCTGTGCCTGCTCCCCAGGGTGGGAAGAGAGACCGCCAAAAAGACTCCTGAGGCAAGCTCTCGAATATTCTCTAATCAAGGTCATGCACAGGCGTCCAACCCATGTGTGGGACTGCAGAGACCACAATGAAGATCCGTTTATTTTTTAGGTCAAAGAAACGAGATGCAGGAATAATAACAGTAAGTGGGTGAAAAGAAATCAAATGCCCTAACGCGTCTAAATATACTGTCCCTACCTCACTATCTCAAGTGGCCTTAGACTACTCACCCTTCTTTCAGGATGAGGGTTCCTTCCCCACAGCAGCCTTCCTTCTGGCCCTGTTCCCTGGGAAGAAGAACAGCTCTTCTCCTGTACCAGCTCTTTTGTTATAAGTCCCCTTTCCCTGTGATTGGCTAAAATTGGTGCCAAAACCTCTCAGGGGCCTCTGGGAGTTGTAGGCCTGGCCTCCTCCCACTGCTAGTCAGGCTTCCTGGGCCTTGACTGCACAGCCCAGATAATGACAACTGTCAAAAGCCTTCTCCACATCTAAAGATAGGAGAAGTACTTTCTTTTAATTGTTTTCACAATGGTGTATTAAATCTATAATTTTCCTGATATTTTCTATAATATTTCTTTTTGGTAGGAACCATTTGGTCTTTATAAATATAGTCCGGAAAGATTAGTTACAGTCTATTGCTATTATTTTAGTAAAAAAATTTGAGGCAGTATTTAAAAGTGTAATTGGTCGGTAGGAAGTCACTAAAGACCAGGGGTCGTTTCGTAGAAAAAGAGCTAGGGGAACTCATTAGCATATGCCACACCCCCTGACATCACCAGAAGTGTGTCATAAGGCCACACACCCCGCCCCCAACGGTCCCGGCCGCCGCCGCCGGCCTTAGAGGCAGGGAGAAAGCAACTTACCCTCCCTCTTCTCCTGCCTCCTCCTGGCTGAATGAGGGCCGGAAGCAGGGGGCGGGGCTTCGTCATGTGCCCCGCCCCTCCATACCTCACCCGGGAAAACTGTGATCCCCCGCGATCCCCCCCGAAATGACCTCTGCTAAAGACCGATTTTTCATAGGTTTTGGTAGCAATATAATTTCTGATTGCTGCCAAGTATGTGGCATATCTCCTGTTTCTAATATATTATTACATAAAGCTACAAAAGGATCAATCAATTCAGATTTAAACATCTTATAAAATTCGAATGGGTATCCATCTGGATCTGCCGTTGAATTATTTTTTGCTTGAGTAACTGAGTCTAGAACTTCCAGTCTAGTAATCGGATTTTCTAATAATTTTTTATACTGTTCTGAAACACTTTTTATTCAATCGTCTTTTTTTTTAAAAAAAAAACAACTTTGTTACTCTGTTCGCTTTGATTTATATAATTTTGGGGGGAAAGATTCTAAAATTTGAATTATTTTTTAATATCAGTGTGTGTTTTCCCATTAACATATTTTAATGCTTGAATAAACCTAAAAGATTGTTTTTCTTTAACTCTCCAAGATAGTATTTTAGTGTTTTTGGAGGTTTTTTCCCAGTTTGGGAAAAAACCTTAACCAGTTTGGTGTAGTGGTTAAGTGTGTGGACTCTAATCTGGGAGAACCGGGTTTGATTCCCCACTCCTCCACTTGCACCTGCTGATGTGCCCTTGGGTCAGTCACAAGCTCTGGCACAGCTGTCCTTGAAAAAGAGCAGTTTGTGTTCGAGTTCTCTCAGCCCCACCCACCTCACAGGGTGTCTGTTGTGGGGAGGGGAAGGGAAAGGAGTTTGTAAGCCGCTCTGAGACTCCCAAGTGAAGGGCGGGGTATAAATCCAATCTCTTCTTCTTCTTCTTCTTCTTCTTCTTAATGTATAATTTTTTGGATCTTTTTTGTAATCAAAGTTTCTAAAAAAATTCTCTCAGCAATTAGTTAGTGCCAACAGCACAAATATAACTGTAAAATATAACCATCAAACCAAGGTTTATACAACTGAAGGACAGCACAAAATCTTACTCCTTTAAGCTGCACTGGCAACTGATTGCCAAAACAATATTCTGGCTTGTTCTTGAGTCTATAAAACCAGCATGATGATCCTCAGATGAAACTAGGTAATCCACCCTAGAAGAACATTGTCTGACCTGTTCTCCTTCTGTGGAGCAAAAAAGAGGCATGGAGGGGCCAGCATCTGTGGCAACAGAACTTCAAGGGAATGAACAGGATTTAGGGTTTTGAAAAGTGGACTTCCAGTAAAATGGTTGCTCCTAAAGGTTACACACAACCCCTCAGCAAGTTCCACTTTTACTGAAAGGGTGAAGAATGCTTGTAATTTCCCCCCAAATTAGCAGTTTTAGGACCAAGCTATTTTAAAGCAGATTTCAAAATCATATATTCGGCAGTTCTCATTCTAAGACATCTGTATAATCAGCAAGGCAGAGATGGGCACTTTATGAATGGAATCCAGATCTGAATTTATTAAGCAACTTACCCATAGTGGCAGCCAGGCCCGAAAATCTAAACTTCAAAAAACGGTCTCTCCCATTAGTATCCTTTTATTGCCTATATAAAACAAACAAACAAAAAGTTGTGAGTGACAGCATGAAGGTGTATAAAAAGGTCCAGAGATGACAATAATCCAGGCTTTAAAAACAAAAGAAAAAGACTGTCAGTGACCACTGTGCTGAAAGGAGAAGATGGTGGAGGCAAGGCTGATAACAAGGCCGTAGAACAAGATTTACTCTCATCCTTCACTTATTTTCCAAAATCTGAGCGTAGGGAAATTATGGCCAGATTAGAAGAATTAATACTCTGCCTTCATAATTCAGATAAACATGCGGAAACAGACAAGGTGAACTCTGAAAAACTATCTAGATTTAGCCCTTTGCAGTCTTATCTTGACTTTAGGCCAGAAGTCCTTCGTAAATTCCTCTTAGAAGACGTTCAGAGCTCAGTGACTTACGCTGTGGCAAAATTTTGTTGCTTAGCTATTAGGAAACGTAAACTTATTTTAGCTGAAAAAACTGTATGATTCTCTTATTAACACTATTTTACTTTACTAATGTTATTAACTCTCTCCTGTTAATATTTTTATATTATTCCCATGCTATTACTATTTTAATCCCTTTTATAATAGAATTGTACTGTTTTACTGGCTCCTGCCACAATGAATTAGATTAGATTGATTGATTGCTGATAAGAACCAGCTAAAGCGATAACTGGAGGTAATATGCGTGAAACTTGATGTAAGAAGGGAAAAGGTTGTGGCTCAGTGACAGAGCACATGCCTTGCATGCAGGAAGTCCCAGGTTCGAACCCTGTATCAACAGTTAAAGGTGTCTGGCTGCCCAAAGCTTTCGAGAGCCACTGCCAGTCAGGACAAGGAACATTGAGCTAGACAGTCCAGTGATCTGATCTGATACAAAACAGCTTCATATGTTCTCACAAGAAACAGTTACTGCTGTATCAACAGCCACAACCCCATCTACTTTGCGCAGAATACTTTCCCCATATAATATAGCTGAGTGGCCAAAACTGCAACGCTGTGGACTCAACTGTAGCTTTCACCTCTCCCCAACATCCGTTAAAATTCACAGAAGCTGAAAACATGGTTAAATATATAGAAATACTTTGTTGATATGATTGCATGTCCATACTGATGGTTTTTCACAGAATTATATAATCACAGAGTTGGAAGGGACCACCAGGGTCATCTAGTCCAACCCCCCTACACAATGCAGGAAATTCACAAATACCTCCCCCTCCACACCCACAGTGCCTGCTGTTCCACACCCAGAAGATGACAAAAACAAAACTCCAGGATTGCTTCCCGACCCCAAAGTGGCAAACAGCATTTCCCTGGGCGTGCAAAAAAGGACCACAAGAACTAAGCACTGAGGCAACCCTTCCTGCCCTCTCTCTCATGATCTGCCTAAGTTCACAGAATCTGCATTGCTGTCAGATGACCATGTAGCTGCTGTTTGAAAACCTCCAAAGGAGGAGATCCCACCATTTCCCAAGGAAGCCTGTTCCACTGAGGAACTGCTCTGTCAGGAAGTTCCTCCTAATGGTCAGCCAAAAAAATCTTCTGATTTAAATTCAACACGATGGTTCTGGTCTGACCTTCTGGGGCAACAGAAATCCACACCATGCTCTAGATGACAGCCCTTCAAGTACTTGAAGATGGTTATATCACCTCTCAGTCATCTCCTCTCCAGGCTAAACATACCCAGCTCCTTCAATCTTTCCTCATAGGACTTGGTCTCCAGACCCCTCACCATCTTCGATGCTCTCCTCTGGACATGTTTCAGCTTCTTAAATTGTGGTGGCCAAAACTGAGCACAATACTCTAGGTTAGGTCTAACCAAAAAAGAGTAAAGTGGTACCATCACTTCACATGATCTGGACACTATCCTTCTGTTGATACAGCCCAAAATCACATTTAGCCCAGTTTTCCAGCCTGTCCTGACTCTTGTCTTCTACCATATTTGCTACCCCTTCCAATTTGGTGTCATCTGCAAATTTAATAAGCATTCCTTCTATCTCTTTATCCAAATCATTGATAAAGATGTTGAACAAAACAGGTCCCAGGACAAATCCTTGAGGCACTCCACTTGTCACTCCTCTCCAAGAAGATGAGGAGCCATTCACAAGCACTCTTTGGGCACAATCTGTCAACCAGTTACAGATCCACCTTAGAATCCAAATGGCATCTTTCCAATTTGTCAACAAGTATGTTATGTAGAACCTTATCAAAAGCCTTACTAAAATCAAGATAAACTATGTCTACAGCATTCCCCTTATCCAGCAATATAGTAACTTTCTCAAAAAAAGAGAACATGTCTGACATGAATTGCTCTTGAGAGACCCATGCTGGCTCTTAGTAATTACAACCGTCCTTTCTAAATGCTCAAGGACTGTTTGATTATTTGTTCTAAAACTTTCCTTGATATAGACATCAAGCTGACGGGTCAGTAGTTAACCAGATCCTCCTTTTTCCCCTTCTTGAAGATGGGGCCATTTGCCCACCCTCCAATCTTCTGTTCTCCAAGAATTATCAAAAATAATGGACAAAGGCTCAGAAATTACATCCACAAGTTCATTTAGTACCCTTGGATACAGCTCATCTGGCTCCGAAGACTTAGTTTCATTTAAAGAAACTAGGTGCTTATGTACTACCTCTATGTCAATCCTAGGCTGCAATTCCATTCCCTCATCATGTGTTCTGTATTTGCCATGTTGAGCACCATTTCCCTCGCAAGAGAAGACTGAGGAAAAGTAGGAATTGAACAGTTCTGCCCTCTCTTCATCAACTGTTACAATTTCACTGCAATGGGCCCTACCATCTCCTTGCTCTTTTTCTTACATCGAACATAAGAAAGGGACCTTTTTTGGTTGTTTTTAGTGTCTCTCACTAGCCTAAGCTCAGAGTGTCTCTCGCTAGCCTAAGCTCATAGTGTCTCTCGCTAGCCTAAGCTTTAGCTTTCGTAACTCTCTCTCTCTCTCTACAAGCACTGGTTATTTGTCTGTATTTATCCTTGGTTATAAGGTCCTCCTTTCACTTTCTGAATGAGTCTTTTTTATTTTTCAAGTCCTTAGAAAGCTGCTTATGGAGCCACCTTGGCTTCTTTAGACTCCTCCCATTTTTCCTTCTCATAGAAATCGTTTGTGATTGTGCCTTCAGTATTTCACTTTTAAGAAACTCCCATCCCTCTTGAGCTCCCTTCTCCTTCAGTATTTCTGACCATGGGATTCTACCCAGCATAACATTAAGTTTGTCAAAATTTGCTTTCCTGAAGTCCAGCCTATATGTCTTACTATGTACAACTTTTACCTTCCCCACGACTGTAAATTCCAAAATTACATGGTCACTATTACCCAGGGTGCCCATTACTTTCACCTCGTCAACCAGTTCTTCCCTGTTGGTAAGTATCACATCCAAGATAGCAGATCCCCTTGTTTCCCTCTCCACTTTCTGGAAAATGAAGTTGTCAGCAAGACAAGTCAGGAATTCATTGGACCTTTCATTCTTAGCAGAGTTGGACTTCCAACAGGCATCTGGGTAATTGAAATCTCCCATGACCACCATGTCCCGTCTCTTTAAGAACTCTGTAATCTGTTGTAGGAGCATCTCATACAAATCCTCTGCCTGGTTTAGTGGTCTATAGCAGACCCCCACCATGATATCACTATTATTTCTTACTCCTTTTATTTTTACCCAGAGACTCTGAACTGGACTTTCATGCTCAAATCACATATATCCTCACAAGTATATACGTCCTTTACATATAATGCAACTCCTCTGCCCTTCCTTATTTTTCTATCCCTTTCAAATAAGTACAACCACTCAATCCTAATATTCCAAATGTGAGCGTCATCCCACCAGGTTTCAGTAATGCCTATTAGGTCATAGTCCCCTTCATGTATTAGGACTTCAAGTTCCTCCTGCTTGTTTCTCATACCCTGCACATTGCAGAGACATCGGAAACGATGTTTTATGCATCCTGAGGTTTTTGTTTCTGTATTTACATGTGAGTTAATATTATCTAGCATATGTGCCTGTAATTATTCCATTTTTGGTGTGCGTGTTTCTTTAAATGTTTAGTGTGACTGCAGTAATGTAAGGAGAGTGATAGAGAGAAACAAGTGTGATGTGATTGGCTGATGACAGAGTGTGGGAGGAGGGGTGTCTATGAGGTGATTCTGTATGTGAAGGGTTTGGAGAGAGAGCAGTCTGTGTGACTATGGGAGTTTGAGTCTATTCTGTGTGAATAAGACAAACAGTTCAGCCTGTGTGGCTATATATATGAGAGAGATTAGTTGTTGTTCAGTCGCACAGTCGAGTCCGACTCTTCGCGACCCCATGCACCAGCTCCCGCCAGGCCCTCCTGTCTTCCACCGTCCTCTGAAGTTTGCTCAACTTCGTGTTCGTTGCATCTATGACACTGTCTAACCATCTCATCCTTTGCCGTTCCCGTCTTCTTTGACCTTCAATCTTTCCCAGCATCAGGGTCTTCTCTAGTGAGTGCTCCCTTCTCATTTGGTGGCCAAAGTATTTGAGCTTCAGTTTCATTATCTGGCCTTCCAGGGAACAGTCAGGGTTGATTTCTTTTAGGATTGACTGATTTGATCTTCTTGCAGTCCAAGGGACTCTCAAGAGTCTCCTCCAGCACCATAGTTCAAAAGAATCTATTCTTCAGCACTCGGCCTTAATGCAGCTAAGTGTAACTTAATTTTTTCCCCACAGAGTAGTTAGGACCAACACATGCCCCAACAGCTCTCTTCACCTCCAAGAGACAAGCTGTGAGCCACATTCCAGTTGGCCTGAGTTCACTCTGACCTCACTCACTGGAGACAGATTCAGATGGGTAGCCGTGTTGGTCTGAAGCAGCAGAACAAAGCTTGAGTCCAGTAGCACCTTTAAGACCAACAAAGTTTTATTAGTCAAAGATGGAGAAGCTCTATCCAGTCAGTAAAAACAAGACCTGGAGCTGACTGTGGTTCAGATCATGAGCTACTCATTGCAAAATTCAGACTTAAACTGAAGA